CATCAATGGTGCAAACGATGCCATCCTCGCCTGCAAGTGACATGTCATCAATGATGCGTGTGATGCCATCACCATCTGCAAGTGACATTTCATCAATGATGCATATGATGCCATCCCCATCTGCAAGCGACATGTCATCAATGGTGCATATGATGCCATCCCCATCTGCAAGTGACATGTCATCAATGATGCATATGATGCCATCACCATCTGCTAGCGAAATGGCTCTAACGGTGACTAGCATTATTCCAACGGTAGCACCTACGTGTCCTTCAGGATTTACAGGAAATGATTGCTCCAAAGGTAAGTGTTGAATGCATCTAGATTTTGTTTTTCATACGATACCAGCACCTGTAACATTGCTAAATGTTGCTATTGTTTTTCTTTTTGCTGTCATAGATATTGATGACTGTGAATACGAAAACTGTTCAGGAAATGGAGACTGCCTTGACAGAATAAATGGTTTTATATGTGAATGTAAAAACAATTACTTCGGAAAAAACTGTGAGAAAAGTAAGTTTCTTTAGATGTTCATAACAAAACTTTTAACTTACAAACCATTTCTACTTTTGCGAAAAAGCAAAGAAATATCTGATAGAATTTGAGTGAGGACAATTTAAGGCAAATAAATTTTCTCTGTATTTGTCACTTTTTAAAATTTAAAATTTTTTTTATATTCAGCTCACATTTCTTTCATTTTGAAGTGTCTACTTAGTGTAGCCGCATTGAAGGATATTGATGATTTTAGACTTGAAGGCGATTGTCAATAAGCGACCTTACGTCTACTTCTTTGAAAATTTAGCGAAAGCTTAGCAATTATGGCTACTGATTTGATTTGAAACGATAAAATGTATTTGGTTATACCAATGAAGATAACACATGTCTAACACATATACCTAAACATTATATCTTAATCCCGTCTGAATTATTCGCGTCTTTACCCTTAGAACTCAGTGCCTGTAATCCAAACCCATGCGAAAACGATGGAACTTGCAGAGAAGTTGGTGAAACGTTCAAATGTACGTGTACTTCAGCGTTTGAAGGGACAACCTGCCAATCAGGTACGGGTCTGTCTGACACTTTCCGTTCCAGTAATATATCGTTCCATCGAAGTACTGCTAAACAGGGAATAATACATGTGCGCGCGCAGTAGTTAGTAAAAGCGGGTTCTGACGTTTTCTCTAAGTTAACCGTGATTTAAAGGCAAATCACGAATCTTAGCTTGAAATTAAGGTTGATAAAAAAAAAGCTGTTGCACATTTTGAAATCAATCATTTTGCTTTCAAAGGTTACTTGCATTTTTTCACAGGTGAGTTTTGAAGAGGGTGTGAATATTATCATATTGAATGATTCTCTTGTCACGCCATCAGCATCGCTGAAATAGCGTTGATTGTTGGTGTGAAGATTTTCATATATCAATGTTGTATCTTCTCGCAAGGAAGTCTTGATGTGCCTTGATTGTTTTTTCTGTCAAAATTGTGTATTTGTATATGAGGAGAGTATGACAACCTGATTTCAGTCATTTCTGAAAACGATGTCCAGCTACTTTTGGGTAACTCCTCTACACGAATTCTGCCTCTGTTGTAGGGTTGCAGAAAAGTTGATAAGTTTTTCATTATTGAACCAGAAAGAAGAAGCATGGACGCTTGAATCGTTGTCAGTCTCTTTCACCCAATGACAGCTGATAATTTTCCATCTCCCCGGAGCTGTTGGGTATGTTTTTGGACAAAAGTCCATTTTTTTTAAACATACCTTACTCTCCTTCAAAATCAGTATGATAAATCCAAAAATGTTCTCTTATTTGTCTCTCTGTTTTTGCTCCACCAATTGTTTAATACTCTGACTCTCTTGACAGAGAAGTCAACCAGATTCTATTTCCAATCAAAGGATATTTCAAATTGTTTTTTTCTCGTTTCAAGGATCATCTGTTTTGATTCAAGATAGCAAAATAGAGACGATGCGGAAAAGAAGAGGACAATTTGATAGGGAGATCGAAGACTGTCTTTAGAGAAAGAGAAAAAGTGTCTTTCACTGTTTTTCGAAGTGGATATTCTAGGTCTCCGTGAAATTTTCCGTTTTGTGTTGCATGATTGTACAATTCTGATTGATCGACAGCAGTGGCATAAAGTTTATTTTGATAAGTACTTCGCCGTGTGAGTTTTTGTCTGTATGATACCAGCAGGATTGCTTTTTCTTTGATGAATGTCTCCATGAGAAACTTCTTTTTGTATATTTTGACAAAAAAGAGAATAAATCAATTGTTTCCGTTTTTCATCAACCTACTTCTTGTTTGCTGCGTCTTCATTGTCAACTGGATTGGCAAGATTGACGATCTTTTTGTTGTTCATATCTTTATCAGTCTTTTAAATTGATTCATCAGGATTGCTTGGGTCTATTGAGAAACTCATTTTAATAGTTTTTTTCAAATCAACGAATTCCTTCAGAGGAACACTCAGTTCCAAAGGAACAATCTGAAACTCTGAAGCTCTTCTCCAACGGAACCACGCTTTCATAAAGACTGTCGTTTGCATTGCTATGTACAGTATTGTACCCGTTCCCCAACTACGTGATACGTTGATAACTGATAAATTTGAATGAATGAATACAGGACTTGAGAAGGAAAACAGCGAAGAATTTGATCCGCGAATTCCTTCAGAGGAAAACTCCGTTCCAAAGGAACAATCTGAAGCTCTTCTCCAACGGAACCACACTTTGGTTCATCCTTCAGATAGAACAGGCTCATTCTTATTCACAATTGATCTCTCGATATCGCAGACCTTCAGCGACCAGATTGGATCTGACGCTCTCCGTTTGTTTCTAATTCACTTTAATGACATCCACATGCCACTCCGTTACTCTAAAATTATCACCTTCGCAGATGATAAGGTTATTTTCACATCCTCGAAAAATTTGGATGCTATCCAACACAACCTTTCGCTCGTTGGTTTCGAGATAACGAACTTATCACCAATCTCAAGAAAGGTAAAACTGATATGGTGCTGTTTTGAAAACCAAAAATACTAAACGGATTAGATGGTAAGAGCTAGGTATGCGCTGGGGGGCTACCCTGTAAAAATATTCAGTATTATTATTATATTATCATCGTCATAATTATTATTGTCATTATCATTATTATTATTGTTATCATCGTCATCATTACTATTATTACAAATCGCCGATCATTCCAGCTTAATCACTGTCCGAATGTCGTCGATAAATCGTCGATTTTCTCGATAATCGGCGACTGTCGTTTGCATTGCTGTGTACAGTATTGTACCTTGTTGAATGAAAGCAGGCTGAATGAATACAGCACTTGAAAAGGAAAACAGCAAATAATTTGATCCGTGTTCTTGCAAGCTTTCTTATCCCTTCTTGGACCTCGTACTCTGTTCTTGCATGCTCCCTGTGGATGTTGTCGTCCTCAGTTCAAATCGAGGCGTTTGACTTGTATCTGAGTCTAATATGTCATTTTCGCTGTTTCTTCTCTGTTTTTTTTCAATATGTTGATATATTATTGTTGATCTTTTTTATACAGAGACGCCTACCCAAACATTTACCGGTACAGTGAAACTGGATCAAGATTATAAAGAGGACTATGATGACATCAACTCACCAAGATCTCGCGTCCTCATTACAGTTTTGGACTCGAAATTAAAACCATTTTTCAAAAAGAAGTTTCCAGATTTCATAGTTATTAATTATAAGCGTTTTTTCAAAGGAAGTGTTGGCGTTGACTATGAATTGCTATTTCCAACAACCTCAAATGTGACTAATGGCAACATCGTGCAAGCTCTTAGAGAAGGTAATGGCTCGAGCGAACTGGGATTTTTGAGGCTGACGGGAGATATAACCGTAACGAAGCAGGTTGTTCAGAAGACAGCAGCACCAACTGCAACCAAAGGTAACTTACAGTGTCTTTTTATTTTTTATGTTGCATTTATGTTGTTACCCTTAAACGAAGTTCAGGGTGACATGCGTAAAAGTATCCACTACCTTATCCGTTTAAC